TATTGGGCGGGCTGCCACGTGATGAGATGTCGTCGGTGTGTACCTCGGTATCTCACGGGGAACGAAGATCGGCCTCCCGTTGCGCACTGGAGTCCAGTACCTGCATGGAGGGCAAGAGGGACACCGAGCAGATCCTTGACGCCATGCGTGATATGATTGTGGCACGGCACTTCTGGGCACAGTGTATTGGGTGGGCTGCCTCGTGGAGTGATGTCGTCTGAGTGCGACCGCCCCCTCTCGCCCCTCGCGCGTGTGCTCTTGTGCTTGTCTCTGTGTTCCCTTGCCTCTCCTGTCGCTTGCTGTCTTCCGTCTCCCTGCCTCTGCCGCTGCCCCTTCCCTGCGGGGTGGGCGTTGTTGGGTCCTCGGTTTTGCCCGCCCCTGCCTTCCCCTCTTTCCCCTGCCTTTCTCCCGGCCCGCCCCCTCGGTCCTCCTGCTGCTTGCTCCTCCGTGCGTGCGCTGGCGCTGCTGGGGTTGGGCCCCCGCCTGGCTGGGGGAGCGCGCGCGGGGGCGCGCGTGCAACCGCCCCGCCGCTCCCTGCCGCCCCCGCCGCCCGCCCCGTCGACGGCCTGAACAACTGTGCCCGTTGCGCCTCTCTGGGAGGTAGGGTGCCTGCCTCTCGATTTTGTTTCGGCGTGTTTCGTGCCTGGGTTGTGGGTCGTGGTGGCGGTGGCCTGGGTTGCAAGCGCCCAGGCTTGCGGGGCATGGACTCTGTCCTCCCCCGTCACCGAGTGCGCCCCCCCGCTGCCGAGGACTCTCGTTCGGGGGGATCGGTAGCGGGCAGTGCTGCCCCGCCCCGCCCCGCGCGCGAGGTACCTCGGTACCTCCCACGGGTGGGCGAAGATCGGCCACCCGTTGTGCACGGGCCTCCAGTACCCTGTCTTTTCTCTCCCCTTCGCTGCCCCTCCGCTGCCACTGCCCCCCCCATCCTGCGCGATATGGATGGTGGCGGGCTTCGCCCGCCGCCGCGCTGCAGCTGCTCGCGGTGCACGGGCTTGGATGGAATATTGATGTTCGCCCGCGAAAAAACTCCTCCTCCTCCTCCTCCTCGGTCTCCCCCCTCCTCCTCTTCCTCCGCGGCCTTCCTCCCCTCACCCGCGCGCTACACACGCGCGACGGCCGCCTGAGACACGCGTCACATGCGGCCGCAAGTATGCACACATGTGCGCACACATCATACAACGCCAGCGCGCGCTTGGCGTGTCGACGGTAGCGTACAACGAGACGTATGCGCCACATATTTCGCAGCCACATGATACGCGCGCCCACATGCAGCCGTCATACACATGCGCAAGGCACACAAGACACAAGACACGCATGCAGACACACGCGCACACACGCATACCCACATTGAGACACGTGTCCACATACAGCCGCACACACATCGCACACATGCACAAGGCACGCAAGACGCAATACACGCATGCGGACACACGGACACACACACACACTAACAACGCCAGTGCGTGCTTGGCGCGTTCACAGCATCACAAACGCACGACGAATGCGCCACATTTTTGGGCGCCCGCATGGGGCACGCGTCCATATACATCCGCACACGCATCACACACATAACACGTACTGAGCACCCACATGAGGCACACGAATGTCCAGATAGAGTTTCGCACGCATTGTACACATGACACGCACACCACACGACACATGCGCGCAAAATTCGCCAGGCGTCGCAGGCGTGGCACTTTCTCCAAACCACAGAGTGTGCTTAGGGGGTGGTTTTTCACGGCGGCCCCTATGCGCGCCAGGGTCTGGGAGCGTGGCAGGCGTGGCATTTTCTCGACGCCACAAACGGAGGTGCGCTGGGGGTGGTCCCTCAGGGAGGCCTCTATGCGTGCCAGGGTATGAGGGCGTGGCAGGCGTGGTACTTTCTCCAAACCAAAGGGTGTGCTCAGGGGGTGGTTCTTCACGGCGGCCCCTATGCGTGCCAGGGTCTGAGAGCGTGGCAGGCGTGGCATTTTCTCGACACCACAAAAGGAGGTGCGCTGGGGGTGGTCCCTCAGGGAGGCCTCTATCCGTTCCAGGGTCTGGGAGCGTAGCAGGCGTGGCACTGTCTCGACACCATAGGGGTTGCGCAGGAGGTTGTCCCTCACGGCGGCCCCTATGCGCGCCAGGGTCTGGGAGCGTGGCAGGCGTGGCATTTTCTCGACACCATAGTGGGGTGCGCAGGGGGTTGTCCCTCAGGGGGGCCTCTATGCGTGCCAGGGTCTGAAAGCGTGGCAGGCGTGGTACTTTCTTGACACCATAGGGGTTGCGCAGAGGGTGGTCCCTCACCGCGGCCCCTGATGCGTGCCAGGGTCGGATGGCGTGGAAAGCGTTGCATTTTCTCGACGCCAGGGCGGGTGCGCAGGAGGTGGTCCCTCACGGCGGCCCCGATGCGTGCCAGGGTCTGAGAGCGTGGCAGGCGTGGATTTGTTTTGACACCATGAGGGGGTGCGCAGGAGGTTGTCCCTCAGGGCGGCATCTATGCGTGCCAGGGTCTGAGAGCGTGGCAGGCGTGGTACTTTCTTGACACCATAGGGGTTGCGCAGAGGGTGGTCCCTCACCGCTGCCCCTATGCGTGCCAGGGTCGGATAGCGTGGCAGGTGTGGCACTTTCTCGACACCAGGGGGGGTGCGCAGAGGGTGGTCCCTCACGGCGGCCCCGATGCGTGCCAGGGTCTGAGAGCGTGGCAGGCGTGGCATTTTCTCGACACCACAGGGGGTGTGCTGGGGATGGTCTCCCTATCCGTTTCGGGCTCGCAAAGCCTGGCCGGCGTGCCACTTCCTCGACACCACATGGAGTACGCTGGAAGTGTTCTCCATGTCTGTCTCGGGCTCGCAAAGCGTGGCAGGCGTGGCACTTCCTCGACACCTGAAGGACTGCGCTGGGGGGGGTCTCCCTATCCGTTTCGGGCTCGCACAGCGTGGCAGGTGTGGCAGTTCTTCGACACCACAGGGAGTGCGCTGGAGGTGGTCTCCCAATCCGTTTCGGGCTCGCAAAGCTTGGCAGGCGTGCCACTTCCTCGACACCACATGGAGTACGCTGGGGGTGGTCCCCCTATTCGTCTCGGGCTCGCAAAGCGTGGCAGCCGTGGCACTTCCTCGACACCACAAGTGGGGGCGCTGGGGGTGGCCTCCCTATCCGCTTCGGGCTCGCAGCGTGGCAGGCGTGGCTCCCTATCCGTTTGCCACGCTCGCAAAGCGTGGCAGGCTTGGCAGTTCCTCGACACCTCAGGGAGTTCGTTGGGGGTTGTCTCCCTATCCGCTTCGGGCTCGCAGAGTGTGGCAGGCGTGGATGTCCTCGACAGCACAGGGGGTGCGCTGGGGGCCAGGGGTGGTCTCCCTGTCCTTTTCGGGCTCGCACAGCGTGGCAGGCTTGGCAGTTTCTCGACACCACAGGGAATGCGCTGGGGTCGGTCCCCTTATTCGTTTCGGGCTCGCAGCGTGGCAGGCGTGGTAGTTCCTCGACACCACGGGGGGTGCGGTGGGGATGGTCTCCCTATCCGCTTCGGGCTCGCACAGCGTGGCAGGCGTGGCACTTCCTCGACACTACAAGGGGTAGTTCTTGAGCGCGGCATCGACTCTTTGTGCGATGCCAAGGCCCAGCCAGCTGGTGGGGTCAAACTGGCTCTTAGCCGGTAGCGCCCAAACTTTTACCGTTTATGGATCCCCTCAGGGCGCTTAGGTTCCCAAAACTTGACCAGCGGGCGCCGCCAACGGTATCGGCGAAGCAACGGCCACCTGCATCATTCTCGCAAGTTCCACGTCATCTGTCATCGCGCCCAACATTTTATAAGTATGTGGGGTTCCTCGGTAGCGTAATGTTGGTTAAGAGTTGTTTGACCCAGCAGCAGCAGCAGCAGCTGCAGCTAAGAGAAGTGGACAGTTGCCGACAGCGATGACGGGACGATGAGGGCCAGCCCCCCCCTGAAATTTCTGGGGGTCGCGTGGGTTTGGCGGAGTTGCAGGCCACTGTGGGCAAGGAAAGGTGCTTCCCCATTCTGCGCCATGTGCGCGGGGAGCCACGACAGAATGTGTTCGGGGCCTCTTGGCCAGGGGGCTGTCTGTCGGGGCGCCAGTGAGTCTGGCAACACTCGAGCGCACGTTCTCCTACTGTTGGATGGACTGGACCCCCAGTGCCGAATTTGCTGGACTCCCGGCTCTGACTGGCAGGGGGGCGAGGTCCTCACTCCGACATGAAGGGATCGCTCCCGCCCATCATTCCGCACGCCCCCACACTGCAGGAGGCGCTTCGTTTTTTTGGGGGGCGGCCCCCTCCCCGTCCACCAGGCCAGGGCGGAGGCGCCGTGGGACCGGAGGCCCACCGCGCTTCGATGCTGATACTCATGTTGGCGTCGACGCGGGCGCATTCTCATCATTTTTCCGAGTCTGAGTTGGAGGACGTGCAGTCAGGCACCCCTTCGTGGCTCGTGTGGCGCCTTTGTGTTTTAGAGCTGCGCGGGAGCGCTCCTGCCCCCCCTCAGCCCCGTCCTCTCGCTGCCTTCGCCCCTGCTTCCCGCTCGTTGCGCCTCCTCCGCTTGTCCACTTCGGCACTTCGCAGCCTTCCTCCCATCCCTGCCTCTGCCCTCCGCATGTCCACTTCGGCACTTCGTAGCCCCTCAGGAGCTCCCACTAAGGCCCCAGGGAGGGGGGCCACGTGCGGTCGGTCCCCCAGCCATTTCGGCACACACCCCACCCGCTTCGCGGCCCCATCAGTGGCCCCAACTAAGGTATCGCATGCGGTCTCCCAGCCGATTTCGGCGCACCTCTCACACGTTTCGTGGCCCCATAGGGTGCTCCAACTGAGGCCCAGTGGCGCAGCTCGCATGCGTCCTCAGGCCCATGTTGGCGCACCACTCACACGCTGCGTGTCCCAATAGGGAGCTCCACCGGAGGCCCCAGTGGCAGCCGCTAAAAGAAATGGACAGTTGCCGACAACAGCGATGACGGGATGATGAGGGTAACCCCCCCCCTGAAATTTCTGGGGGCCACGTGGGGGGGGCGGAGTTGCAGGCCACTGTGGGCAAGGAAAGGTGCTTCCCCATTCTGCGCCATGTGCGCGGGGAGCCACGACAGAATGTGTTCGGGGCCTCTTGGCCAGGGGGCTGTCTGTCGGGGCGCCACTGAGTCTGGCAACACTCGAGCGCACGTTCTCCTATTGTTGGAAGGACTGGACCCCCAGTGCCGAATTTGCTGGACTCCCCGCTCTGACTGGCAAGGGGGCGAGGTCCCCACTCCGACATGAAGGGATCGTTCCCGCCCATCATTCCTCACGCCCCCACACTGCAGGAGGCGTTTCGTTTTTTTTTTTTGTTTGGCGGCCCCCTCCCCGTGCACCGGGCCAGGGCGGAGGCGCCGTGGGACCGGAGGCCCACCGCGCCTCGAGCAGGACGAGGGCGCGGGCGGCGATGCTGATACTCATGTTGGCGTCGACGCGGGCGCATTCTCATCATTTTTCCGAGTCTGAGTTGGAGGACGTGCAGTCAGGCACCCCTTCTTGGCTCGTGTGGCGCCTTTGTGTTTTAGAGCTGCGCGGGAGCGCTCCTGCCCCCCCTCAGCCCCGTCCTCTCGCTGCCTTCGCCCCTGCTTCCCGCTCGTTGCGCCTCCTCCGCTTGTCCACTTCGGCACTTCGCAGCCTTCCTCCCATCCCTGCCTCTGCCCTCCGCATGTCCACTTCGGCACTTCGTAGCCCCTCAGGAGCTCCCACTAAGGCCCCAGGGAGGGGGGCCACGTGCGGTCGGTCCCCCAGCCATTTCGGCACACACCCCACCCGCTTCGCGGCCCCATCAGTGGCCCCAACTAAAGGCCCAGGGCTGGAGGGGTATCGCATGCGGTCTCCCAGTCGATTTCGGCGCACCCCTCACACGTTTCGTGGCCCCATAGGGTGCTCCAACTGAGGCCCAGTGGCGCAGCTCGCATGCGTCCTCAGGCCCATGTTGGCGCACAACTCACACGCTTCGTGGCCCCATAGGGAGCTCCTCCGGAGGCCCCAGTGGCAGCCGCTAAAAGAAATGGACAGTTGCCGACAACAGCGATGACGGGATGATGAGGGCACCCCCCCCCCTGAAATTTCTGGGGGCCACGTGGGGGTGGCGGAGTTGCAGGCCACTGTGGGCGAGGAAAGGTGCTTCCCCATCCTGCGCCATGTGCGCGGGGAGCCACAACAGAATGTGTTCGGGGCCTCTTGGCCAGGGGGCTGTCTGTCGGGGCGCCACTGAGTCTGGCAACGCTCGAGCGCACGTTCTCCTATTGTTGGAAGGACTGGGCCCCCAGTGCCGAATTTGCTGGACTCCCCGCTCTGACTGGCAAGGGGGCGAGGTCCCCACTCCGACATGAAGGGATCGTTCCCGCCCATCATTCCGCACGCCCCCACACTGCAGGAGGCGTATCGTTTTTTTGTTTGGCGGACCCCTCCCCGTGCACCGGGCCAGGGCGGAGGCGCCGTGGGACCGGAGGCCCACCGCGCCTCGAGCAGGACGAGGGCGCGGACGGCGATGCTGATACTCATGTTGGCGTCGACGCGGGCGCTTTCTTATCATTTTTCCGAGTCGGAGTTGGAGGACGTGCAGTCAGGCACCCCTTCTTGGCTCGTGTGGCGCCTTTGTGTTTTAGAGCCGCGCGGGGGCGCTCCTGCCCCCCCTCTCAGCCCCCTCCCCTCGCTGCCTTCGTCCCTGCTTCCCGCTCGTTGCGCCTCCTCCGCTTGTCCACTTCGGCACTTCGCAGCCTTCCTCCCATCCCTGCCTCTGCCCTCCGCATGTCCACTTCGGCACTTCGTAGCCCCTCAGGAGCTCCCACTAAGGCCCCAGGGAGGGGGACCACGTGCGGTCGGTCCCCCAGCCATTTCGGCACACACCCCACCCGCTTCGCGGCCCCATCAGTGGCCCCAACTAAGGCCCAGGGCTGGAGGGGTATCGCATTCAGTCTCCCAGTCGATTTCGGCGCACTTCTCACACGTTTCGTGGCCCCATAGGGTGCTCCAACTGAGGCCCAGTGGCACAGCTCGCATGCGTCCCCAGGCCCATGTTGGCGCACCACTCACACGCCTCGTGGCCCCATAGGGAGCTCCGGAGGCCCCAGTGGCAGCCGCTAAACGAAATGGACAGTTGCCGACGACAGCGATGACGGGACGATGAGGGCCAGCCCCCCCTGAAATTTCTGGGGGCCACGTGGACTTGGCGGAGTTGCAGGCCACTGTGGGCAAGAAAAGGTGCTTCCCCATTCTGCGCCATGTGCGCGGGGAACCACAACAGAATGTTTTTGGGGCCTCTTGGCCAGGGGGCTGTTTGTCGGGGCGCCACTGAGTCTGGCAACGCTCGAGCGCACGTTCTCCTACTGTTGGAAGGACTGGACCCCCAGTGCCGAATTTGCTGGACTCCCGGCTCTGACTGGCAAGGGGGCGAGGTCCTCACTCCGACATGAAGGGATCGCTCCCGCCCATCATTCCGCACGCCCCCACACTGCAGGAGGCGTTTCGTTTTTTTGTCGGCCCCCTCCCCGTCCGCCGGGCCAGGGCGGAGGCGCCGTGGGACCGGATGCCCTCCGCGCCTCGAGCAGGACGAGGGCGCGGACGGCGATGCTGATACTCATGTTCGCGTCGACGCGGGCGTTTTCTCATCATTTTTCCGAGTCTGAGTTGGAGGACGTGCAGTCAGGCACCCCTTCTTGGCTCGTGTGGCGCCTTGTGTTTTAGAGCTGCGCGGGAGCGCTCCTGCCCCCCCTCAGCCCCGTCCTCTCGCTGCCTTCTCCCCTGCTCCCCGCTCGTTGCGCCTCCTCCGCTTGCGTTCGCACCCGCCAAAAAAAGTCCCAAACATTGCGTGGTGTTGGGTCCTCGGTTTGAAGAGACAGCGCCCCGCGTCACCTCACCTGCCTCACGCTGCGCCCTCCTCCCATCCCTGTTCTTGCCCTCCGCATGTCCATTTCGGCACTTCGTAACCCCTCAGGAGCTCCCACGAATGCCCCAAGGGGGGGGACCACATGCGGCCCGCAGCCATTTCAGTAAATATGCCCCTCTCCGCCTCATCATGCACTTGCCTCTCCTATTGCCTGCCTTGCCATACCTTGACATTGGTATCACTGTATACCGCAGCTGTGTATCTACTGCTCGAGTGAGAAAAGGAGCGCGCCGGGGGGCGCGTGTGCGGCCCGTGTCGTCGTCCGTCCCTGGCCGGCCTCCTCACTTCCCATACTTGAGTGTAGTTGCTTAACGGATAACCGATAGTTTCATCGATGTCTCATCCCGTATCCTCTACCACTGAGCAGAGTCAACATGAGACCTTAATTCCTTTGACATCTTATCCCGAATCTCAGAGGAAAGACTGGCTATCAGCCGAAACCCGCGACCAAGTCGCAACGGGAATGAGCTATGATGAGACAGCCGAATTGCCCGTCTGATCGCAAGTTGTACAACGTGACTGGCAAGAACACCAGGACAGCGGCCCGGGGAAGGGCCACCTTCTCTTCTCTTCTAATCTAACATCACTCGGATTTCTCGTGGAAGGGGTAAGGGAGAAGTCAATTATTTGTCAGTCGATGATTCTCCCGCTCGCATTCCGATCGGCGATCGTGAAGAGACCCCAGACCCGACGAGGCGGGGCGGCGCAACAGCGAATGTCAGGCGAGGAGCGTTTTTCATCTTGGGTTGCTGAGTCTTCTGAGACAGTGCACTCCAGCCCGATTGCCATGAGGACTATCGTGCCGGCCGCTGGCCTAGCCAGTGGGTCGCAAGGCGCTGAAGAGTCCGGCGACGGGTACCCCACCGCCCCAGACGGATGGGGGAACACTCGAGAGACTCATCCCATCCCGATAGCCTTGAACGGACAAGCCGGTCAAGATAACGATGGACAGCTTGATGATGGAAACGATGTAAACTCTATGGAGGAAGACATAAAATACGCCAATTATCAAGTATCACTAAGCCGAGATTTGTCGTCGATAACCGCTGCCGACCATCCCGTCCAGGGCGGGGGGTCATCCGCTGGGCAGGAAACGATTGATTACGATCACTTGGAAGCCCTTGGGAAAGCGCTTGCGGGACCAGACTCAGAGACCGTGATAAGTGACCTGCCGCCCCAGGCGGTCGAGGTCGGGATAAGTTACCAGCATCATGCGAAGCGCGACCGGGAGACTACGGGACGAACGCCCGCTCCTCATTTCAAGAAACACAGGAATGATGATTACGACTTGAATGATTCCCCGTTTCAGGAAGGGTTCTATCGACTTGCCGTCGCCACAGGCGATTGGCAACCGTCGGTGCCCGCGGTAGTTGAGGATGATGAAGTGCTCAACCCCCCGGCTTCGCTAAATGAGTTGGTCAGACAAGATGAGCGGGATGAGGAGTTTCGCGAGGCGGCCAGGCCACTTGAGAGCACGCGCGCCTGTCCTCGATCGTCTGCTTCGAAGGCCCAAGATGCCACGATCTGGTGCCTGGTCGACTTCGAGGAGCAACAGCACAGTATCCATGCGCGAGGTATGCTGGAATCGGGGCCCCAACTGCCCGCCCCAGGCGGAAAGCAGATGCCCGGGGAAAGCCCACAAACAGGAAGGAGTCTGTAAGCGCCCAGCGCGTGGAAGTTGCTCTGATGTGTGTCCCAACTGTGGCAATCAACGGTGGTGTGAGGATTGCTTCCAGATGGAGAACCATAACTGCTCATACCTTCTCATCCAAGCTATGCAGGGCCAGGCTAGATTTGTTGAGGCCAATACTCAGTAAGAAATTGTGGTCCGCGAAGCCCAGAGGGCCGAACAGGCTCGACTGGACCGAGAAGGAATGAAAGCAGTCATTGAGGAAGTTCGGATGAAGTTCGAGGCTGAAAGACTCGCTCTAGCCCAAGCTGCCAGCAAGCGGGAACAAGAGCTGATGGAACGAATGCCCCGTCAAACCGCAGCTGCCCAGCAGCGCGCGGCAGAGGAAGTCGAGAACAGAAATGCTGAGACGATGTCATCCGAACGACAGGCTGCAATGACGGCGAACAGCTAGTCTGTTGATGCCAAGACCGCATCCGCCGCTGTTGCGGTGGCGAGAATAGAAGGAGAGAGGGCCGCCACAGCCAGGGCATACCATGATAAACAGGAGCTCCGAGAACAACTTCGCGCTGCCAGGCTGGAAGTGGCCAACGCCCAGATTGTAGCTGCGACGATAGCTGTTCAGAATAATCAGTATCCAGAAGAACTCAAGTCACGCGAAAACGCCAGAACATCTCTTCAGCGCTTGCAGTTAGGTGACAATACGTGCCCACCGGCTAAGCCGGCTGGGGCGAGTAGACGACCATCGCCGGCGGCCCAGCCGTCCGGCGCAACGCCCTCGCAGGCCCAGCCTGGCTCGGCGCCCACGGGGGGCGGAATGCCGCCGACGCTGCAAGCAAGGGCTGCGCAGCAGCCACAGCCCGCGAGAGGGGCTAACGAACGCGAGCACCAGGCGGTGCGTCGCATGTACTCAACGAAAGAGTTTGCCTGCAGAACAGGAGGAGCGGGACGAGCAATGGCAAATACAGTGCTGATCATAACTTTCGGGCTCAACAGCAGAAGCCCCTTAATGAATTCAGCGCTGATAAACTTAACGCGCAGCGGGTGAAGGAGCAAGCTGAGGAGCAGATAATTAGAATGAGCTCAGAAAGGTCAGTTGCCAACATTCGAGAGAAGGATGAGGCTCTGGCACGCGCAGCTGCATGAGAGAGAGCTGATGGAGCTTAAAGCTATCATCAACGAGTCCTTGAAAGAGAAAGGGCAAAACACGCAGCACTCGCTGCCAGCTGCCGACCGCGAAGCGGCCATGATCGAAAGGACGAAAGAGATCGCGAGATCAATTGGACTGGAATCCTTTCCATTTATCGAGAAAGAATTGGATCAATTGCCCAAGTTCAGTCCTTTTGACGTGCCTCTGCTTTCACAGAAGACGCCCGTGAGGCCTGCCATGCAACCCCATTATACTATCCCTGGCCCCGTAACCGAAGGCCCAGCCGAGCCTGGTACCTCCGGGAACGTCGTTCCCATCAACGCGGATTTGACAGGTACCATTGATAACGTGACCTTCATCAACTATCATCCTCTCACCAAGGACGGGCCAGCGAAACCGCTAGCGGCCCAGCCGTCTGGTCGAAATAAAGGCCTTGCGTCGGCGGCTACGCCGCCAGGCGGGGCAGGGCAGGATAAGGATGGGGGTGGTAATAGTACCGTACCGAGTACCGAAGTTTTGTCGGCACTCGCCAGCGCTATCCGAGACCAGTCGGAGAAGCCGCCTCCAGGGAGTCCGGGGGGTCCTGGATCCCCATGCGGTGGAGGTGGTCGTGGCGGACCTCAGGGTCCGGGAGGGCCACGTGACCCGGGAGGTCCTGATGAGAGTGCCACTCTAGATCAGCGGAGGCCGGTTGGAAACAACCAGAAGGTTGATCTGATGGACATTCCTGATGTTACAAGCATACGGGAGTGGCAGATGCATACGGTTCGTGCTGTTGCTGGCTCGTCTCCTGAGATTCGAGAAGCACAGCTCTGGATCATGGAAACAATGGGCCCTTCTGTGGATAACGAACAGCTCAGAAACCCGGGTCGCTTCCAACGCCTGGACATTATGATCGCCACTAACTTGATTGAGAAGTTCAACAAAATGCGTAGGATTCGCGGTCTTTCCACTCATCACATGCACTTCCTTCAACAGATCAATCGCATGGAATACGGCGCCCAGAATGAGCAGAGGCTCTTGACGGGGCGCGAAATGATACGAGCCATTTGTTATTGGTGTTCCGTCAGGCCGGAGTTAGGTCAACATCGCATTTCGCGCGACATTTTTTAAGGTAGTCATTGGCCCCGATCGCCCAGACGCTGATTTATACCATTTCTATGATGAGTGGACAGATGTTTATCCGCAACTTTTCGGCGTACGACCCCCATCTGATAAGATGGGGGCTTCGATCCATGCGCACTTCATCGAGCAATGCAGGAAGCCAAAAAAGTTGGAGCTCGTTTGCCAACTTTATGATTTGTCCACGGACAAGCTAGGAGAGGGCGTAAGAACCTACGAATGGCTCATATCTCAAATCGAATGGATGATGTTGCGTGAGAAGGAAGAATGGGACATCCGCATGCATGAGGGTACTTTGAACCAACGTGCTCGACAGACGCGGTTAGGCGGTGGTGGAGGCAAC